AGAGCCCAGTAGAACTATGAGCTTGGCAACAGACCTGGCTTGATGCTGACAAAGACTTCCCATTCCTTCACCCTCTGAAGAGGTATGAGATAAAGTCCGAAGGCTGTATGTAGAACACTAAGTAAAACCATGGAGAAGCTCTTGAGTCCTTTTCCCAGCCTCTACCTCTTGTTCTCTCAGCGTCTCCAGACCCTCCCCGATAAAAATGGGAGTGGTAATATTTCCTAGAGTTGGGAGGATTCTATAGCTCGGAGAATACACTAAACCCCTGGGAGCTATACAGTTTAGAAGGTCAGTATCATGCCATATGTTATACACACGAAAAGGACTCAGAACAGTGCCTTCCCTGCAAGCATTCCATCAGTACCAGCTCCCAGTATTTCCTACAGATAGGACAATTCACCCAGGGTTGCCAAAGACCAGCGGCTTCAATGCCACTGCGATCTCACAGACCCTGGGACTAAGCTGCCCCTTCTTAAGGCATACATCAATGTGACCTCTACTAGCCCACAGCCAGGGGGTTGCCGGAAGTTAGTGAACACTTCACCCTCGAAGGACTCCAACATAAGCATCTGGTTTACTGTCCTTGTCCTACTGAATTTAGAAGAGGGAAGGTGGCTTTGTCATTTGTTCAAAGTCATCCAAATAGGAAATGTCACAGTCATGACCTAGATAGGCCTGTCCGAGATGCCCGACCTCTAGTACAGTCCCTGTCTTCACAGAGGGATTTTCTTAAAGGTGACGGCACCAACTGACTGGGCACCTTCATTTCTAAAAGTATTTCTCAATCCATTGTGCAAGTGCTGCAGCTCGAATACACACCCTGCCTTCCTCCCAGGCTTACGTGGGAAGCCTGGCTGGCAGATGATGGCCTCTGGGGAAGTGACTGCTTCTTGTGTTCTTTGGTCTAATAGATAGAATAATATACTGATTAAAAAAAAAAAAACTCTTATTAGACCATTGAGGGTTGGGAAGGGAAGTATGTATCGAGGATGGGTCTTCAGAGACTCCATCTCACCCTCTGCCTTTCCTTTGTTCTCACTTTCTATACTTCCTGGCTGCTGTGATATGGGTCTCCCTGCTCCACTGTGTCCTTCCTGCTACAATGGACTGAAACCTCTGAACTGTGACCCAAAACAAATAATTCCTCCCTAAAGTTGTTGTGGCCAAATGCTTTGTCACCATGGTAAATAGTCTGACCAGCATAAAATAGGAACAAATACAAGTTAACAGTATCCATTAAGGCCAATATTAAAGGAGGGCAGAGAGAGGGGTTTTGACCCAATACAGACACATTACTATGCTCACAGAGTGCCTTCAAGCAGCATCTCTTGAGAATGTCCCGGTCCTGTTGGCTGGGCAGAGTCTTCCCTCCAATTTGCTTTCTCGGGAAGTAAGAGGGTACATGAGGGTCAAGAACAGATTAAAAGCCACCTTGCTTCTGATGTCTCCAAATGCATTTAGCTTAATTAGAATCCTAGTTTTTGTTTCTAGGATCTTTTGTTAAATACTTGAGTTATAGCAATTGGAAGTTTTATAATCACTAGAAGAAATTAAAAGGCAAGAGGGCCAATCCCTCAGGGATTCCCACCCAGCACTCCTGGGACTTCGGGCACAGAAACACAAGCATCTTGTCAATTCTGTGTGTGGAGAACCTGGCACACTGAGAATTGACCCAGATAGTGAGGAGTGGGCAGAGGAATGCCAGCTGCCTCTTAGTACCAAACTGGCAAGATGAGTTGATAAAATGAATTGGTGAAATTTTGCTTTTTTTTTCCTCCCCTGTTCTTAGAGTTGAGCTGGTTTTTCAGAGATTTATTCTTTACTTGTGATTACTTAAAACTACAAAGGCAAATTAAACATCAATAAAGCCATACAAAGTCTAGAGAAAGGAAAATATTTCAAATACAAAACATTTGCTAATAGAAAAAATTTTTTAACACTTTTTGAAATAAAGATTACATATGTCATGGTTTGGGGCACTGGCTACTTCAGGATCTTGGTGTGGCAGTCATGGCTTCCCAGAGGGCAGAACCGAAAGAATGAGTGTGTATTAATGAGGGGTTTGTGGTCTCTTCACACTGCACAGGCTGAGAACCCAGTAGCTGCTCTGTCCATGATGTTGAATGCCTCAGCTCTCACAATCTGGCCTTGCCTAGAAACCTGCTGGTTTTCAGTCCACACTGGAAGGCTGGAAAAACTAGGTCCTGATATCAACAGAGGATGGCGTAACAGGGATGGCAGCAGCAACAAGGTAGATGAGTTCCCAAACAGGGTGAATAAACTCGCCAAGGAGACTCAAAGGCAAGCTGAACCAGGGAAAGAGAAAAGCTGTCATTGATTGACAAGGACCTTATGGAAAGAAGGGAGATATGAAAAGGTCAAAACAGGATTTTTAGGACAGTGGAAAGATTCTCTATGACACCATAATGGTCAGTACATGTCATTATACATTAGTAAAATCTATGCATGTGAGCCCTAGTATAAACACTGGACTGTAGTGATATTGGTTCACTAAGTTTTACAAATGTTCATATTACTGCAAGATGTTGAGAATGAGAGAAACTAAATGACCAAGATGGGGCAGGGTGTATCGGAATTATCTTACTTTCAATAGGGTTATCTATAAAACAAAATAAATATGTATTGATTTAAAAATAGAAGTTGGGGGAGGCTGGTTAGGAGTCGGCCTGGGCTCAGCATCCATGCCTGTACCATAACCTCAAGCTTGTGCAAGGTGGTAAACACCCTTTTTGTGGCCTTGGTGACAGTCTCTGGGGAGTAGGCCTGTGCAGATTATGGAGACTGAGGCTCAATACCAGCTGGAAAAGGGCAGCTACAGATTGCCCAACATGCTACTTGGTTTGCTGTCATCTTGTTCTCTGGATTGACGTTAATCTAAAAACAAACAAAACAAAACAAAACAAAAGAACAGAGGGCCAGACCACATGCAGAGAAATGTGGTGGGAGAGTATCTTTCTCCCTGTGGTCATGCAAAATGGGGGGGTCTACAGAGGATGAAGACATACTAAACCCCTATTCAGTGAGTGGGGTGTCTTTCTTTGCTTACCCTCCCCACTGCCATGCCATGGACTAGGTCCCCATTGTCCACCCTTTGGGCCTCAATGGATTTCTTTTCACTGTTATGCAAGCAGTGCAGAAATTGAAGTCCCTGTGGCCCTTGTCAGTGTTAACCTTACTCCGGGTTAACACGGCCAATTAGAGGCGCTCACAGAGAATCTGAAAGCTGGAGGGTTGTGGAGAAGCTCTTACTCCCTCATGGCAACTTGAATGTGTAAAAAGTAGTTTTGCCAAATGGTGTATGATCACCCTTGTGTCGCTTCATTTCACACTGACCACTGGTCACTGACGACCACATTCGAGCTCTTCTAGCCCTTGCAGTAGGAATGGAAGCCTCTGGCTGGCAACGTTTAAGTCGTCAGAAGTTCTGAATGCCTACTGTGACTTCCACCGTCCTGTCCATTTAGTATCCAACTCCAACGTTAACTGAGTGAGAAACATGCTGTTGGCTCAGAGTGTTGTATTTCCCAGGTCCTGGGCTAGGCTCCTTAGCATCTCACAGACAAGAAGTGAGTAGTGCTACGTTACCTGGAGTGTCATTAGGAACTGAAAAACTACCTGACACAGCACAATACACCAAGGTCTAACCCTTCAGCAGGGAGCACATTTTAAATAAAGTTTCAATAAATAGGCTAAATCCAAGCTAGAGGAAAATTTCCTTGAAGAGATGTGCACAGGTTCCCAGGTTTCTGTGGACAGAAACCTCCTGACCATCCCAAAAGGACTGTGGGGTAATGGTGATGGTCTCTTCTGCAAAGCTGGAGGCCAAAGCTAGAAGGGAAGCCAGGCACCCCTCAGTCCCAATAGCTCTCTGATCTGACACTGCTCTATGGGGCCTTGGAGAGCAAGAAATCCCACTTTTAAAAGCCACTGGAAGCCGATGGTGGTGAGGAAGGATGAGCACACCATGGGAAGGGAAGTCACGATGGACATGCAGCCCAAGAAGAAGATGGGGTGATGCACGGTGCCTCAGGAAGGAGGAAGGCAGCTACTCAGAGAGATGCTCAGCTTACTCCAGGCTATAGACCATTGGGTGAACCCACCTCATCCATCTTGAAAGGCAGGGAAGAGCTGAGTAAAGTCAGCGAGCCCTGAATTCAAGGCTCAGCTCAGAGCCTGGCTTCCAGTTGTGTGACCACAGATTTGTTACCAAAGCGTCAGTGCCATTCCTCCTCCTTGCCTATAGCATGGTGACAGTCATACCAGCCTCTCACCATGCTGGAGACACTATGAGGTAACATGTGTCAGGCACCTTGAGTTTTAGAGGAGGTGGTTCCCCTTCCACAGAGCCTGATGGTTCACTTTTAGCCCCTTTCTGTGGGCTGTGCTATGTTCTAGTATGTACTGTAATGACGTAGCAAATGAGTCATAGTGATTACAAATGGTAGGCATTTTGTGTTGTCTAGAAGGCAGGTAGGAATCATTATTTGACTAAGGATATTACCACACCTTAGACACAGCTTGAACATCATCCACCATGCTCTACGATTGGTTCTCATTGCTGATACATGCAAGGACCCAACCCTTGCTGCTTTTCCTTTTCCTACCAGTTAATTTTCATAAGAAAATAAATATAAACCTTTACTTCTTACTTTGCAGTGTGTGTGTGTGTGTGTGTGTGTGTGTGTGTGTGTGTGTGTGTGTGCAGACATGGTGAGCATGTAAGAGTCAACCTTCAGAATGCAGTTCTTTCCTTCCACCATGTGAGAACCACAGATCAAACTCAGGTCATGAACTTGGCATCAAACCTGGTAAACAATCTCATTAGCCTGTCAACTATTTTTTTAATCCCAGCAATTCACATCTCTGACTTTGAAGGAGCCTCTCTCAGCCCAGATGGTCTATACCCCGGGACTAAGGTACTAAATGATCTATGGTCACCAAAGGTTAAGTGGAGAAGGTAACTCTCATATTCTTACCTTATATCAGTGAGGAGTGAAGAAGCAGATAGAGGAGGTGTGAGCAGGATGACAGTGGACCACTGAGAACGTGAGCGAAATTCCCGAGAATTTCGGGTGCCAAGAAAGGAAAAGACAAAAACAAACCAAAAAAACCACAGAGCTGCTCTCCTGGAGCTATTTAAAGTCTTACGGTGAACACTAAAGAAAGACTGGAAAAGTTACTACTGAAATTCTTAGTTCTTGGGGCACATGATGAGCCCCGCCAATGGAGAGGCACGCTCTGTGTGTGCCCCTCGGACCCAGCTGAGGAGATGATCATCCACTGCTCTCACACTGTTCACCCAGTTAGGGGGTGGTCACCCACTAGGGCCCTCTCCCTCCACCTCTGACTTGTTCTCTTGGCTGCTGGCCGGCTCACTGGCCAGCCTCTGACCTTTGCTACCTTTGCTGGAGTTGCAGTCTCCCTGGCTGATATCTTAGTGGCAGTGAATAAACAATGCTCTCTTTGTTCTCAGGTTTCTAGAATCAGCTAATGGTTGTGCTGTGAGCCCTTTCCCATACTGCCTACAGAAAACTAACTCCCAACTTGCCAACATGGCTACTCCAGCGTCTCAAAAAGAAACAGAACCCCAAATCAGAGACATTGCAGATGAAAGAACAAATCATAAGACACTTGGTTTAATTGGTAGGAAATTTTGTGCACGCTTTCAAAGACCCACACACAGGGCACAAGAAGCAAACACCTTCCACCTAACTCGGCTGTCACAAGGATCATTTATTTCATGATAGCAGAAGAGCAAGGGTCTGTCTTCTCAACAAAACAAAAGTGTCAAAATTACAGCTCAGATAGACACTATTGTAAAAGCTAGTTACGTGTTTGTGTACTTAATGAGGGAAAAATCACATGAGTTAGTGATGGGGAATTTCCTAAGTGTGGACGAGAGTGTAACAGATACAATATGCCCTGAAAATGGAAGCTATTTTTATATTTCAGTTCGTTTCACTAGATGTTTGTTCAGTTTGTTCCAGGCATCTGGAAACTGGAATTGGTGCAGAAAGAAGATTCGGGGTAGATCAGCTAACTTTAAACTGTGTGCTGTGAGAACTGATGGCAGTATTGATGCTACAATATGGAGGGCTCAACTTGCCTCTAATAAGAAGCATCAATGGGGAATATAACATCATTGAGTAAAAGGCTTCCAAGTGCCACTAAGAGACACTAAGTGCCAACAAGAGATTTATATGAAGTAGTAAAAACTATGTTAAAGTAATTTTCTTTGTCCATTGCCAACATCTCTGGCATAGTTACTGATAGTGCCTGACGACAGAAGATAAAAGATTTTAAAAGTCAATAGATGGTACAATTGCTGCCCCAAACTCACATTTAATGAAGTTACATTGCACATTGATCAGGACAACACATGCACAAAAGCTTTAAACGGGGATAACACGTGCGAATCGCCAGCAAGTTTGTGAGTCTCATCAGAGCCAAGGGATTAGAGCATCTCTAGTTCCAGGAATGCCTGAAAAGTGTTCCTGCTGAGGGGCTGGAAAGATGGCTCAGTGGGTAGGAACGCTGACTGCTCTTCCAGAGGACTGGGTTTCCATCCCCAGAACCTGCATGGTGGCTCACAACCATCTGTAACACCCAGTCCGGGGAATCTGGTGTCCTCCTCTGGCCTCCATTGGGTCCCACGCAAGCACTCCTTGCACAGACATAAATGCACACAAAACATCAGTACACTTAAAATAGAAATAAGTGAATCATTTTTTAAGCGTTTGTGCTGACTGTGGTAACTTTTCAGAAATAAGATGGTTAAATTGGTGCCAAAGGCAATTAAACCACACTTAATATGCCCCTAAAATCAAGGCTGCACGGTGCGCAGTGGTGGGGGCCTTTTCTGTCCTGTTTTTCATGCCATGTGTATCTTACAGGTTCCATGGCTGAGCAGTGGGGCAGGACCTAAAGCCTACAAAACGCAGGAATAACAAGTACCAGTGAAAAACATGGCTTACAGAGCTCCCTTGGGTGGGAGAGGTGTTCCATGAGTGTGGTTGGATCTGTGCGAGTCAAGCCCTCTCACTTTACATGTCCTTACATGCTCTGACCCAGGTTTGGGGGCAAGAATCGCCTGGACCACAGGCCCATGCCTGGAGTCCAGCTGAGGCCCAACTTACCTCTGGCTGCCCATATGTGGTGGTTTAGATGCTCCCTCCTCTGGAACTTTTCCTTATGGCCTCCTTCTTTGGTACCTGGAGCCCCAGCACAGGGCGGATAAAGAGAAATGGAAACCCTTGTGGTCACCTTTCCTCTCCGGAGTCAGAAAAGGCTGTGGCAACAACACATCCTTTCCCGCTAGCATGCTCAGGAAGGCTAGTGGTGGAGGTGGGTTTCATGTAGGCCTGACCTGACTAGCAGGGTTTCCTGGAAATCTGTGGCCAGACAACCCCTGTCCTGCCTCGGTCCCACATTCCACCTCCAGGATTCTCAAGGTCTCCTATCATCTACGGTGTACACCCTTGGTTACTCAGCTGCTCCCTCTGCAAGCCCACATGAGGCTTAGGAAGACCGCGTACATGGCTCGACCTGGGGTCAGGAAGAAATACCTGATGCTCCAAAGGGCCGGTCAAGCAGACAGCCATCTTCTTTTCCATTGTCAGTACTGCCCACGAGGGGCTGTCCATGGTTACCTGTGTCTTTGTTACTGTGATAGCACTGCAGCCCATCTAGAGAAAGCACAGGTGCAAATGCCCAAGGAGGGGGCCCCACAGAAAGGGGGAGTGGGAGTCACCTGAGTAGAGAGCCTCCATGGAGAGACTGAACAAAAGGTCACTTGGGTAGAATAGATGCTGTGCCTGAGGGAGAAAATAAACCTGTGGGACTTCTCCTGAAGCTTCTTGAAGAGGTGCATCCATCCCCACCCCCACCCCCCACCCCCATCCCTGTTACCTCTCTGGGTGTTCCCATTTCACAGATTTCCCCATCTTCTAGCACAATGGTCCAGTGTCAAAACTCTACCCATGGGACAGTCTGAGGAAATAAGATCTTTTTAAAATATATGCAAAGGTATGCAACTTTGTTATTCTTTAGGAAAATGTGCGTTTAAATTATGTTTTATATCACCATGTTGGTAAACATTTGTTGGGCAACTCCAAGTATTGGTGATGATCAAAGACAAAGCGACAGCTCCTAAAATGCTGAGGTGGGGTGCTGACATTGAGGGCTGTAACTCACATGTGGGGCCCTGGGCTCTGTCTCAGCATTGAAAAAGAAAATTTTGAAGGGGACATAGATCGCTGCAGCTACTTAGAGAGTGTTTGATACTATCTATTTAAACAAAAGATTTTTAGATAATTATGGACCAACAATTCAACCAACACTGCCTTTTAGAAAGCCTCTCAGGGAGCTGAAAAGGTGGCTCCACAGTTAAGAGCAAGCTGCTCTTGCAGAGGACTAGGGATCTGTTCGTAGCACTGACACAATGGCTCACAATCATCTGTCACAACAGTTCCAGGAGATTTATTGCCCTCTCCTGATCTCCGGGGGCATCAGGCACACACGGGATGTACCATATACATACACAGAGGCAAACACTCATACATGTAAAATAAAAATAAAATCTTATAAAATATATAAATGTACCAATCAAATGTACAAGGAAGCACATTGAAGTGCTTTTGTTGTTGTTGTTTGTTTGTTTTTTCTCCCCACACATGTTTCCTGTCTCTCCTCTCCTCCTAGTTCTTACCCCATCTACCTTCTGTGTCACCCCCCTCTGTTTCTACTCAGAAAAGAAGAGGCCTCCCATGGATAGCAACCAAACATGGAATCTCAAGTACAGTAAGACAAGCACATCCATTCATATTAAGGCTGGATGAGGGATCCCAGGAGGAGGAAAAGGGTCTGGAAACCAGGCGAAAGAGTCAGAGATAGCCCCTGATCCCACTGTCAGGTGTCCCACAAGTGACCCAACTGTAACATACACGCAGAGGGCCTAGGTCAGACCCACGCAGGATCCCTGGTTGTCAGTTCAGTCTTGTGAGCCCCTATGATCCCAGGCTGGTTGATTCTGTGGGTTTTCTTGTGGTGTCCTTGACCCCTCTGGCTCCTCCAAGTCCTCCTCCACATTTTTACAGGATTCCCAAGCTCTGCCTAGTGTTTGGCTGTGGGTCTCTGCATCTGTTTCCATCAGTTGCTGGATGAAACCTCTCTGAGGACAATTAGGATAAAAACTGGTTTATGAGTGTCTCTCTCTCAGCCAATATATGCAAATCTACTGGGCCTGGGATGTGAGGATCTAAAGGAATGGGGAGGACTACAGCTGATGCTGTGGACAATCTTACTTCAGTTTCAGTGTACTTCTATACATGAATATAACAACAACAACAATAAGCAATGATCCAAGGAAGGTTGTTTGAGTTCAGGAAAAAACATGGTCAGAAAAACATATGAATTTTAGTAAGCACATACTAAATATTGACAGAGAAGCCCTTTCCCAGAACTTTCTCAGGACAGAGCAATTTGAACACAGTTGCCAGAAACATGATATAAATTACATCTGGGAAAGCACAAAAGCAAGGCAGAAGGCCATATCCCAGATTCAGGGTACACTGACCAGATTGGGTTCTATAGCTATGTTCTGACATCTGACAAGAGTAAACATGTCTTACAAATTCAGTATAAGTGTTTGTCACAGGAGGCATGGAATCACATCCAAGAATAGTTTAGGGAACAAAATGTACTGAGGTAAAAGGCCCTCTGCTTTTCCTAGAGCCTAGCTCACAGTTCCTGAAGGCATCATTCACCAGGCATCATTCTTTTGAACATGCTCTGACATATGAGCATAGCAGAAAATCATTAGGAATCATTTCATTGCCTTTAAAATGTTTTTCTTCACAATTTATTCATCGTATATCCCAATTGAAGCCCCCTTCCCCAGCTCTCCCCAGCACCTCCCTCACTCTTCCCCTTATCCCCTAGTCCACTGAAAGGGGGAGTTCTCCTCCTCTGCCATCTGCCCATAGCTGGTTAGGTCTCATCCAGGACTGCCTGGATTGTCTTCCTCTGTGGCCTGGCAAGGCCGCATCACCTGGGGGGAGTGATCAAAGAGCAGGCAACTGAGTTCATGGCAGAGGCAGCCCCTCCTCCCCTCACTCAGAGATCCACATGGAGACTGACCTGCCAATGGGCCACATCTGAGCAGGAGGTCTAGATGGAAGAGAGGAAACAGGATGGGAGCCTACATAGAGGGTCCTTTGAAAGGATCCATCCAACAGGGGATGGAAGCAGATGCTGAGACTCATGGCCAAACTTTGGGCAGAGCGCAGGAGGTCTTATGGAAGGAGGGGTGGGAATAGAAGGACATGGAGG